AAACTATGTTTGAAAGAACAAAAATGTGAGATAGGACCTTTCTATAAGTATTAAAGTGGTCGCACAATGCTTTTGAGGGGAAAAAAGGTAATGTCCGAGTTTTAATTGTTCTATATCGAAAAAATATACCCGTGTTTTATTTCGGACTCAATAAATATTTAGAGCAGAGCTGGGCTATAATTGTAACCTGCAAAATTTTTAGCATTCCGATTACAGTAACTGTAGTTATAAAATAATTTATTGCGAAATGGATAATTTAACTTTAACGATGATGGTAAATAAATTAATTTCGATGAATTGTTACGATAAACATAAAATAATGTTCACTTGCGCTTCTATCGCAGATAAGGAAGATGATTCGAGTTTTGAGCAAATTTCGCCCAATAAAGGCACCTTCGAGATCCTTGTCCAAAATCAACTCTACAGTGACATTAGCGACTCGTGGATAGATGTGGAAATTTGATTGAAAGGCAGGAATTATAAATTCACCCAGGCGGCAATCCTTAGTCAATTTTTCTTTTGAAAAACTCATTTTGTTAAAAACAAATGCAAAAAGACGAAAAAAATTCGCGATATACAAACATTCAATCAAAAAAGTTTAGGTGGTGTTTTGGATTTTAAGCAACGCTGCACAGCGTGGAGATTAAACTTTTTTCGTGACAAAATCGAATATCTCGAGAACGAAAACAGCTGCCGAAAAACAATTTCCCGGAAAAAAATGCCTTGACCTTTCAAATAACCTTCAAAGTTAAAGCTTGGAACACATTGGAAACGACGGGCTACGGACCAGAGCTGTCAAATTATTTTAACGCGTACTCTTATGTAGATAATTATTTTGGTGACGACACGGCAACAGCTGTGGCCAGATTGGATCTATTTCTATTTCTCTAGCGACAGATAAGATTCTTCCTCTTCTTATATGTCAAACTCAAACAAATTCATGATGTCGCTGCCGCGTTCAAAAAATCATGTCGCCGTCGACATGGCGTTTAGATTATGTAGATAAAACCTTAATGTCGTGTCGTGTGGTGATGTCGTTTTCGATGTGTTCAGAGCTTAAGGGGTTTTCAATTGTTTTCATTTTTGACCTGAAAACAGCATTCAGTGAATTTTTCAAAAAGTTTAAAACACTTATTTCTGCTTTTCTTCTGCCAAGGAATCGATTTTTGTGATCGAAGGAACCGGAAAAAAACTTCTTAAATTTTATAAGAGATCACATACTGTTTTTGGGTAAAGAAAAGACAATAAATACAAAATTTGAATTTTTAAGGTAATTTAAAATCATTATGATTACACTAGTTTACAGCAAAAATGTTCTATAGATGTCACTATCCAATTCCTATGTAGAATTGCTCGGTGATACCGAAAATCGAGATAATTTTTTTTTCTATGGATAAGTTTTCGAGATATTTGCAATTTACCGTTATTCACTTAATCACGTACATATATCTAACGAACCAATTGAATAATCGTAATAAAAAATACGGAAAATGAAAGCTAATAAAATTCTCCATAAACCGTATGTACATCACATTTCGATAGCTCTGTTAGTTTCTGAGAAATTAATTTATCATTTCTGACAGCTCTTGCTTTCAATGCAAGCACTCTACCTACTTAGGTGTACGTGGCGTATGAGTAACACTATTTTCTGCTCATATTTCATACAACAAATTCTTGCGCATTTTCATTTCACCAATCCTTGCTTTCTTATTTATACATAGATTTTCTTCATAAGTAGCTTAATTTTTTTTCTAAAGGAACAGGCTTTAACACAAGTGCAAAACATTTACACAGAAACTGTTATATTTTTGGAGAACAAAAACAAAATTCAAATTTGTGATCCAGTGTTATTAATCATTAGGTTCTTCAAAATAGCCCAGAAATCATTCCCGTACTCAACAAAAGGGTAATAGAGAGCGAAAATTGGAACGTATTGGGTCGTAAGTGTCTTCCTCTTCCTGCCCGAAACAGCCCGGACTTTTTCTCCGGGTAAAAATGGATAAAGTGTCAAAGTGCATATTAGCTGTTTTGTGTTTAGATGTTGCCTGCATTTACTTGGTGCTTTTGAGGAATAGTGAGTGTATTTTCAATCTTTATATTCTTAAAATCAAGTTTGTGAAACAAAAATTCAATTTCCAAGAATTTGCGTTTAAGTGACAAAAACCATAGCAACGCGAATCAATTGTTTCTCAAATTCTGGGCACGAAATGTAGTTTTTTGCGTTCCCGTACTTCTGGATTATGTTCCATTTTTGAGAGCAAACTTTTCGCTTATTCTCTAACTACCGGATCCGGTCCGGATTGTTAGGGAAAGAACCTAGTATTTAACACAATTGAGCAATTGTCTAAAATCTGCTTTTTAATCAAAAAGTTTTTTTTTTTGTATCATGAATGTATCGATTTAGCTCTCACTTTTTTAATATTATTAAACACTAATGAATCCGGATGGCTTTAAAACGCTCAAAATTTAATTTCAAAAACTTAAAAAATATTCCAAATGTTAGTCAAAGTTATAAAAGATCCGAGTGCCATATTTCATCAAAACCGTGCAGCCGTTTCTGAGTGGAGAGTAGTCTCGCATAGTGCATGTTTTTATTTTCATCGAAGTTCAAAGGTATAGGGTAGACCGATGAAAAATTTCTTAATTAAAAAAATCAAAGTTTATCATACATCAACAAGCTAAGGTCCCTAATTTGACCACTCTTTTTGAAACTCCTTTTCAAACTAAAATCTTCTTAAATCTCTTTCGTCTAGCATTGTGATACACATGTATTTCAATGAACTGATGGACTAATTCGAATTTGATTGATCGAACAAATGGCAACCCTCCTAAGTAAAGGTCAAGAATAAATCCCTTTCAAGCCCATTTATATTTATACCCATCTTTTAATAATTCATCCAACTTACTGAATAATTTGAATGAAACTTTTTAAACACGTGGCAACTCCCTTCAAACATTCGAAATGTTCAAACTAAAGATTTCTTAACATTCTTTCTTTTGACTACGGTATTTTTATATTTCATATACTTTCTGAATTAGTTAATTGAGTTGGACCTTTCAAACAGGTGGCAGCCCTGTTCAAAAGTATTTTCAAGCTTAATCATTGCTAACTCTCCTTCGCCGGACACTGCAATACAGTTCAGAAATAGAAATTTTTCAAACCCTCTTCGATAGATACCCATATTTTAATAATTCATTTATCTTATTAAATAATTTGAATTTAGCTTTTTAAACAGGTGGCAACCCTCTTCCAATACCTCAAAAATATTCTTAGCGTTCAAACTAAAGATTCCTTAGCACTCCTTCGTTTTACATCCAGTAAAATAAATTCGACATTTGCAGCAGGTGGCAGCCCTCTTCAAAATATTTTCAAACTACTACTTTCTGAAACCCCTTTCATTTGGCACCCATATGGTGATACATATGTCTCTTACCTAATACGATTTTTTAAACAGGTGGCAACCCTCCTATAGTTCAGCTAAGAAACAGAGCTTCTCAAAATTATTTCGATTGATACCCAGATTGTAATAATTTAACTCTTTTCAAAAAAGTAAAACGCTATTGCACATCCACAGTTTAAGGCTTTTAGTTAGACGCCTGCGGATTTGATGGCACTGATTATTAAATAATTTGATTTTAATATTTTAACAGGTGGCAAGCCTTTTCGAAAAACAAAAAATCCCTTCGCGTATTAAATATATAGATAATGTGGCCGCTGTGGTATAATGGTTAGCGGTGCGCGGTTCAAGCCCTGATCAAATCAACAAAAAATATAGAAAAAAGGTTTTTTCTTAACAGTGATCGCCCCTCGGCAGGCAGCGGCAAGCATCCGAGTGTATTTCTGCCATGAAAAACAGCTTCTCATAAAAATACAATCGCCGTTCGGAGTCAGGGTAAAACTGTAGGTCCCTTCTCTTTCTGTGACAACATCAAGGCGCACGCCACAAGTTGGAGGAGAAGCTCGGCCAAGCATTAACATACATATGTTATCTCTATTATTATTATCAAAAATAATGCGGATTATATTATACTAAGATATGAATCCTTAATTTATTTTCAAAACTGAATTTAATTTCTTTTAATATTAATTATTCTCCATTTGAGTTCACTTTTTTTAATCTCTTCAATAAGACCAATGCTTTCCCGTAGAGACAAACCTTCGGTTTTAAATTTATGTATCGAAAAAAAATGCAATTAAAGTTATGAGTTATTAAAAGCCAAATCTGTTTTTATGCTATTATTTTTAAACACTTCTCAGAAATGCTCAAGAAAAGCCAAATTTTCTTAAGCAGTACGGAGTTCTTAAGAAATTTGCTAATATCGTTTTCTAAAGTTTTTGGTGAAGAAAGAGGACAAGGCCTCCCTTGTTTTCTATAGAAATATATACCCCTTCCATTATTTCGTAAAGAACAGGTGAGACAGCATGCTGTGAAATATCAGATGTCAAAATTCCTTTGACACTGCTATTCACACACACGAAATAATAGCAATTTTTTCCTTGACCGTTTTCTTAAGAGGTCCATACTTAGCTTTATAAGTTGAAATAAGCAAAATAAGCATGGTCTTAAGCTTGGAAACCCTGAATAAGCAAAATAAGCAATTCCAAGCAAAAGTTTAAAACTTTGTGCCCTGATAATAACTTTCTTTAAAGCCCATGTTCGAAACCTGGTCTGAGCAACAACCAAAATCCATAGCGAACCTCTGAGTGTATTTTCTCAAAAGAAAAAACTTCTCTTACAAAAACATGGATTAAAATCGTCGTGCAGTAAAGTTTAAGCATAGTTTTATTGAGGACATATAATGGCTGGAATTTGACTGTACTAAACAGATATTTACTCGTATTCCAAAAACGTTCGAGCTTTTGTCCATAATTATATAATTGAATTGATTCAATAGATTCTTTTATAATTGTTAAAATGAAAACTTGAATAAACTGACAGTCATTCAGTTCTAATATCACTGTTAAGTTTGTGGAAATGGTAATTTCTGTTACAACTCACCTGCATGGTATAAATCGATCAAGAGATGTTGATGTTGAAGCCGCCTCGAATGCGTTGAAGAGATTTCGAGCGACTGGACTACAATGTTTCAGAATACGCTTTTCATAATCAGGACTGAACATTTTCCAATGTTTCTTTTTAAAACTCTCTTTTTGCGTCGTCCAAGGAATGCTTTACAAAATATATGTATTTATATGTATGATTTTTGGTCTATTTGATTAGATTTAAAATTTGCATATGCTTATGTACGCATACTAAAGTGGGTAATAATAATCCAGCATAAGCCTCTAGAATTTCAAATTGGAATTATTTTCACTCAATAGATTTACGTATGTATGTACATATGTAGTATATATGTACTTGCAATAGATTCCCAGTAAAATATATTTAGCTTATGACACAAGTAAAGCGGACTTGTTATTCATGAGGCCGACCTGCAACGAAAAAGCACAAAAATCATGTAGATATTTATCAAGATGTGTATCAATAATTTACAGCCTTACAGCCTATTTCAAATGTGTGTAAATAAATTAAATGTGTGTAAGCAAATTATACAAAAATGGTTATTAGAATTAACAGCAGGTAAATCAATTTATCAAAGTCACATAGCAAGTCAGCTAAAATATATTTGTTCAGCCACGAGGCCCCAACTACAAGAAAAAGCTACACACAAAGCATACAATGCCAGCACGTTCACCACGTTTATTCGCCCTGGTACGAGTAGGCGACACCTTACGTACAAGAAGAAAAATATCGAAAAGTTAGTTATGTGTGTTGGCATGCCACGGCCCATGTAGCTTGGACACTGAGAGCGAGCACATATCCAAACAAGCTTACTTTGACAATCAGTCAAGATCACTCATGGTCACACTAATCACAGCACTTTAATTCGTGGTGGCATTTTAAAGAATCATGAACAGAATTTTTAATGGTGAAAAAAAGCTTACAGCCGCACTCAGAGTCGTTTAATGATTACTTAAGGTGTCCCTCAGTAACGATTTGAAAAAATTCCCTCTCAGAGTCAGTTTGTGATTCATTAACAGCATTTAATGTACATTAAAGTTTAGTAAACAAAAACCTTTACTTAACTTTTTAACGAATGATTTTGAATTTTTTTTTTGTTTTCAATAAATTTCTTCTTTTTTTCTTTTAGTTTCTGTTTCTCAAATTTTTAGTTTTTCCTGTTATAAAAAAATATTTTTTCATTTCGATTTAGAAAACTTATTGCTAAACGATAAATCGATGGCTGAGTGGGAGATCGACCTATCTCGGCAGCCAGTTCGAAAACGCTCTATCTCAGAAAACTTTTCAAGAACGCCCTACTTCAGAATTTGATTGAAAAACGCCCTATTTCGGAATTTTATTGAAAAACACCCTATCTAAGATTTTGGTTGAATAACGCCCTTTCTCAGAATTTGGTTCAAAAACGCCCTATCTCAAACGAAAATACATTGAAAATAAGCTGAAATAAGGCGATTTCGAATCGGCAGCTGAGATAGGGCGTTCTTCAACTAAATTCCGAGATAGGGCGTTTTTCAATCAAATTCTGAAGTAGGGCGTTCTTGAAAAGTTTTCTGAGATAGAGCATTGTTCAAAAATTTTCTGAGATAGGGCGTTTTCGAACTGGCTGCCGAGATAGGTCGATCTTCTACTCAGCCATCGAAATATAATAACACTATTAGCACATCTTTCAATTACTCATTCGAAATACAGAAGAGCTTTCAAGATAGTTGTTTCTCGAAAGACTGAGGTGAGTTGAAAGACAGATGCCAGAATTGGTCTTGTTTCTCTTTCAGCAAATAGTTTCTAAAAATTTAATTTAATTTAAAAAAATTGTTTCCTTTTTAAAGCAACAAAATCTATAAATCAAAAGAAAATTAGATCAAAGAAGCAAAAAAATTCAATAAGGACAGTTTATAAAAATTTAACAAGAAAAAAATAAATAAAAAAGGAAAAAATGTTCCTTCCCTAGCACTCGAACTCGGATCTCTCTAATGGCACGCAGTGCTCTGCTCACTCAGCCATTGCGTCTGTTGAACCAGTGCGCGCAAAATTATATAAATACTTATTTTTATATTTTATTTCAAACTGAACGAAAAAAGTGACGTGTGTCAAGTTAGCACTACACTTTTCGAATTTGGAAAAGTTAA